TCTACGTCGATTTTCTTTTCCAAGACGATATGCGCAGCTGAAGGATCACAATAGCGTATTTAAAGTGTAACACATCTCCAGCGAATTTAAGCGGACTAATACAAAACGGTGATTGTTTCTAGGAGGAGAATACCTCTCAGCTATTGAAGATCAGCCTGTAGGACCTCGTTCTACTCAGAATGATAAGACAACGAGTTTAGTGGTTCGGTTTCCACCGGCAGGCTAGTAAACACTTTCTCTTTAAATACCGGATTGAAGTGACGTAAGCACCGTTACCTAGCTTCTAGTCGCTTAGGCGATCATTTAAGCAGGCCACAGCTCGATGGTATTCGAGCAGCTGCGGTGCATGGATACAAAGCCTCATCACTAGGCAGGGCCAAACAAAGGCCTCCTCGGACACCTGCAAATACGCAGGGATCCGTAAGATCGGGTATTTTGTTCAAGACTTGACAGTTATGCAGAAAAACAGCGCAAACGCGGTTCAGTTCAGTGCGTTGGCTTGATGGCATTGAAAAATGATAACATTTATGCCATAGTGATAATCGTTTAGGCGATGGGCACCGGCCATCGTAAGTCCACTCTGAAAAACAGATGATTCTCCAGGCAATGACTCATAAGTGATACAGTTTTTTGTCAAGACTGGATTCGGTTGCTTTTTGCCTGTTTCTGAACCTTGGCAGTTCAAACAGTGGTAACGTTAGTTTTTCGGGCATTAACGCGAAACATCAATCCGCGAACAACACAGATATATTCATGCCAGCCGTTCGCCGCATTAACCACCGTTCATCTCTGTTCGTTGTTCAAATCTGGGAAGACGAAAACCGCCGTGATCTTCAGGTCCTTCTCACTGGTCTTCGCCGGAACCAACGCGTCTCTTCAGCGAGTAGCCGTCAGGGGCATACTTTTCTGCGGCAACAAGCCGGCACGAAACGTCGACGTGAGACAAATGTTTGAGCGATTGATGATTCAGGACTAGAGCTGAGGATGCCACGGCCTGCGTTGGAAAACCCGTCGGCAATAAACTATTTTGCCATCAGCAGTGTTTGGTGCGGCCAGAATCGAAAGCTTGAATATTACTTAAAGATTAAGTGCAAAACAGCATTTATGGAAGTGAATGAGAATCCAAGAACCATGTGTATCCGATACAGGTGTACGGTAGTTAATCTTTATCGGCCTTTCTCAAGAAACGTAGTCAACGAGAGAGGAGGTCGAATCTTAACTACGTGTACAACAAACGTAGCAGCGACTGTGGAGCAATGATTTGAGGAATAACCTAGATTCTTTGCCTGCCCGTTTCTGAGCCCCTGCTCTGTTGGAAACCTTCGAATTCACAGGAATAGTTTGGCTGGTAGCACGGATCGAGTTAGATTTCTTTTCGGAAGCTAACAGAATTTTGCCAAGATTCATGGTTCGTTGTAGCCTTGAAGAAAGCAACGTAACTCAGTCAGTCAGCTTCGAAAACCGCTCTTCCCCTCGGGTCGCGAGGCAGTCATCCCCGACAATGTTTCGAACCATCCTGATCCCGTGACAGCGTCTTAACTTCGGCAGAAAATGGCCTGAGTCTGGAGCAGAGTACGTCGAAGTTGTTGACAAGGACATTCTTGACCATCCTCGAGGTTTTTGATTGGTCAGTTTAGCAAGTAGTATTTGTTTTGTTATCCTTGCTGAGATCATTCGCAAAAACGTCCTAAACCTCTTAATATTTTTGCTAGTACTCATTTATGCATAGTGGACCGACCACACATACCGATATTCTAAATATTGCCTCTTGTTTCGTCAAGCACTGCTCCTTGCAGACGACGGTGAAATCAGAGGCTATATCCGACTCTGCATCTTGGAAGTTGTACTCAGGGCATTGTCATAGGCCGTAATGAATATTTCGTAAATGCATCACTGATTCTAAAACAGAGGGTAAATATTTAATGCCGAAACCCAATTCAAAAGTTCGGAAATCTGTTATTGAGTGACAGCGCATTATGAAATTACTATGTACTGAATCGCTGATGTTTCTGAACATACTCTCCAATCTCTTCAGGATGACTCTGTGAAAACAAATCGAGAATAATTCTGTATATTGTAAATTTCGATCTTTGTGTCACTCCGTGAACATTTCAACAACTTAGAATGACTGATTCATAGTGAATTCATGAGTTCACTAAGTAAATATTTTTGTACGCAGCGCGCTTCAATTTTTTGCTTCAAACAGGTTTTTCCACTAGCCTTTTAATGAAGCAGATGGATTGAAATAAAATTCAGCGACGTGAATAACGAATGGTGACATTAAACACCATCAAACAACTAGCATTTTTTACAATGGTATGGAAACACGGTATGTAATAATGATTAATAATCCAAGATGAAGAAATAATCTTTCAATATGTGCAAAGAAGAAAACTCGCGAGATGCGCCATAATTGAACAGCTGCACTCATGATTCTTGATGATGAGAATCATGCTTTTTATAGGCTAACTCAGATGACTCTTTGTTGAATTTTCAAGCGATATCGAACGGTGATGAAAACAAAACGTTACCAGTTTACATTTGACAATCCTATCTAAAGGCTGGGTGTTGTTCTGCGGTTACTACTGTAGCACATCTAAGATCATAGTAGTTTAACAGCTCCAACTCTATTTATCCCGGATTAATGGTGCCTGACAGTCAGGAAAAATATCCTCAAAATTACCTTAAGCATTAACCTCATGGGAGAAGCGTCTTGCTGATGACTTCTGAAGTTCTAGTCGCCTTATCGCACCAGGACACGCGTCATTTTCTCAGATCCCTCGGAGAGTTTATTAAAGTTAGCGGTTCATTACTCGGTGACACAACCGGAATTTGAGGATGCTGCGAAACAGCGTTCCGCAAATGCTTATCGAGTTTCAGCACTGCAACGGTTTCGAGGGTACATAAGAGAATGAGAAGACGCCGGTTTCAAAATGGTCACGTTCGTCTTTATCGATACTGATCGGTCTTTTCATGCTCCGTTCAGCCTCATACCGTTTGCTGCTGCGAGTCCAACGCATCGGTTAATATCAGAGTCACAGGTTACATCGTTCGCGATCTTTGAACCGGTCAACTTCTTTCAAGTCCTTGCCGTTTTATTGACTACCATCAAACTTTGACTCGCGTTGCCATGTATTACATGTTTCATGATCTAAGTCTTATTATGATAATACCATATTCAAACAAGGTCTGAACAATGTTTGCAGAGTTTCTGTCTCGAAATCGTGCACCGCTGCGTGCAGTTCAACGGGTGTCCTTGGTGACCAACACAGGAGCAGTGTTTGAGCCTTACGGCTCATTAGCTCGTAAGGTAAAGATGATTAAGTGTAAATGTGCAGCTGAGGATATAATTACAATGGTTCCGTCTTCCACAAACATGCCGTTGCTTATGTTCTTCTGTTGTGCCGGTAGGACAGACGCTACTGTCTCTGGTGCCAGCAAACTAGCAACTCTAACTCAGTGTACCGTTTGACAGCATGATCTCCTTTCAGGCATAGGTTCAGAGTGATAACCAAAATGTGAGCTTCTAAAACATTTTCAAAACGAAGAGTCACTCAGAAAATGCTGAAAGATTTGTCCCTTGTAAGACTGCTTCCGAAAGATTGCATAAAGTAAAAAAGAAATCGATCCTCCGCTGAGTGACAGCTGCCAACGTATGTCACGAGACAGAGTTATTTTATTGGTTGAAATTGAACTGAAATTTAAAGTGGTCACTGTGCAGCTTAAAATCTGGCATTCATCTTTCACTCACCTCCAGTCGATGTATTTCATATATAGTCAACGGATAGCTGCCTGATAATCAGTTGTGGCCTGGCCGTGCTACGGAGTGCGTAACGAAACGCCTTTGGCAATGAAGTACTCACATCAGCGCTGCTTGAAGCCCTCAGTCATGAAACGCCAAACAATCTGCAATTTCAGCAGTGGGCCCCCAATCAGAAATCTCACACCATATTCACTGAGAGTTTCAAATTCCGGCGAGGAACAGACCTCCTGAAAAGAGCATTTGATAGGAGCTTGATATAACAATTATTTTTAAGGAAACCTCTGTCCAAATCAAAACTGCCCAGAACGGTGGGAAATGCACAAAGCTGTATTTACCAGAGTCTAACTCGGTCTCGTTTAGACGTAATTTCTGATGACGTGATGGACAAAGGCAAAACTGACAGTGGTGGAAATTTTTTTCTTGATGGCAGTGCTGACGAATTCACAAAAATCGACCCCGTACTGAAAATCTACCACGACTGTGATGACGGGATGATTGTAAGTTACACGAAACTGTTATGATAATGTACCTATGGCCGGAATAACGCTTTCCCTTCAGCCTTGCCAACGCAGATGGAAAATCACTATACCAAAGCAGTACATCTCCAAGAGCACTACTAAGCAGCCGGCACCATTCGATTTCGGAAAAGTGAACTTGGAAGCCCGTCTTTACGAAGACCGCAACTGTTTTTAGTTTAAGAAGCGCTATGCGATATATTAATTTAAGATACTCAAATAAAAATATTTAAGGCCGATGTGTTTAGCACAAAATTTAACTTCAACCCCAATCCGAGGTCGAAAGCGTCAGAGTCACGTCAGAGTTCCGTTAAATGCGGAATCCGTACAGTAACGCAAGTGCAATCAAAATAAATGCCCTTCGTGTACGATTCATTCAGCCCTCTGCCCTTCTCCTCACATGCAGAAACTTTTGCTTTCTACCAGGTTCTACCAATACTTTTTCTTCGAACTTAATTGGAAAAAAGCCCGTGCAGCCTGATATATGAATTAACCTTATCGAAACAAGCTAGTCAAGCTTTGTAAGCCTTACTCAAATTTGTCGTGTGAGCGATTAATCCGCAAATTCGAGCAGAAAAGCAGCGGGTTGTTCCTTCGAAGGGAAGCCGTCGTAAAATCCGGAGGTTTTTTTCTTCACATGAAAGAAAGAGAGCACGGGTATCAGCCGAGGAAGCCCGACTGATTAGCCGCAGTCAACGTCATGATTAACTCTGTATCAAGCCAAGGAATGCGCGGACGGGATGCAGTTTCAGTGCAGGACCTCCTCGCCAGAGGCAGAGGTATGAACACCGAGAATCCAAATCGTAAAGCAGATGCTAATTTAAACTAAATGGATGAAGCCTAATCGATTACGAATCTCCAGCTGCAATCGTAGTGTTTGACAGGGTTGCTCAGCCAGTGGAACGTGGGACTCGGAATCGAGAGGTCGTTGGTTTGAGCCCCGCTTGTGTCACTCGCCTTGCGAGGTAGATATGGGTTATTCTGTTTCTAAAATAGGGCACTTCTAGCTGATGGCATAAAGACGGAGAGCAGCGCCGCACAACGATTTTATGAAAAGAAGGACGCCACAAATGAAATCAAAAAATGAAAGTTTAAGGGAGACCACCATCGAGTGTAAAAACTACTATTAATTCCAGCTGGAAGGCCAAACAGTGAGCCAGGCCACAAAATACTGCGTATTCGGCTATTCCGGCATATCCCACGGTCGATTAGGTTGACTACTTCTCTAGTTCCTCACATAATGGACTATTGTTTCATTAAGGCACCATAGCTAACCGATGGTGAACTGTGCAATTTACCAAAAACAAATCATCTGGAGCATCATTCATACAATCGATAAAAAATCTGAAATTATATTCTGCATTATGTTAGGCAACATACCATGGAAAGATACATGTTCAAAAAGACATGAAGAAACTTGAGGATAAAAGAATCAGCAAGAGCACAAGCAAGAGTCCGGAAGACGCCGCTGAAAGACTGGTGAAGATGGAACTAAAATTGGCAGACTGCTGGGTTGAAGGAAAGTGCGAATGGACCGTTGGAAGACGTTCTGATGGTAGGCCAAAGTCAAGAAATTTGTTTCAGTACCGATACTATGAATCATAGAAAAAATATTAACTGCACACATTCAAAAAATCCCACGGAAGCCTTCATCCAGCAGATGATAGTTCTACTTGAAAACGAAAAACGGAAAAACGCTTTCCGAGGAGCGCACATCTATTTATGAAGAAATAATTCAGGTTCAGTACTTGATCATTTAAAAAATATCCAGTCTGCAAATGCCTACAACCATTAAAGAGCAAACAGATCCATCGTACATTCGGAACGGCATTCTTTCTTCCACTACTCAACGGAAGGAATTGTCTAAGGTTATCAGCAGAGCTGCTTAAATCTCACTACTGTGCATGAGTGATGCTGAATGACTATGTTATGGCTGACCAACAGCTGGCTGTTTATACTGACCAACATTACTTGTAAATCTGCATATTTGATTTATTCACTTGATCGTCCGGTCATAGCACTTTGTCCACTCGTCCCTAGTTCGTGTGTTCTTTTACCATAGTGGTTCTGGTAAGCCATACATAATTTCTACACTAACGCTTCAATCCGTTATCAAAATCTGAAAACGATTATATATCTCATCGGCAGTATCAATAACTAACAGTATGCTAGCCAACCCATGAGATGGGGTTTTATTTTTCCGTATAAATGAGCCTTCGGATCAAGGCAGATCTGTAGAAGTCTGAACAAGCCATTGTTCAGCCCTGCCGAGTGATTAAATATTGTGTCTATGCAATGCAGGTGCTCAAATACCACAGAGCCGTGGCCTGCTTGAATGGTCCCCTAGGCCACTAGAAGCAAGGGGACGGTGCTTACGTCGATTCAGTCCGGCATTAAAAGCTCAAAGGATTAGAAACACCTTTGCTGTGTGTTTTTTGAGGGAGCCTATGCGGTCTTTGGCATCCACCGGAAATAACCCCGCGGTAATAGCTGTCCTTCGACTGTAAACCGAGCGATTTGACCAGCCCATTGAATGTTGCTTTTCATGATGATATCCTTCCATCAGGTATCTGTCTGATTGCTGCACTGGAAGAAACATCCCAACATTTTGGTTCCTCTGGCGACAGATTGATGAAGTACATCCGACATGAGGCATCACCGGTTGAGTTAGCTACAAAATTATACTTCATCTCTTTACAGCAAAGCGGTTTTGAGGCTAGCTCCGTGATAGCAATGATAGCGGAGTGTATTATATCAAATATAATCATGATACCGGAATCGATAGCTCCCAAGAACATCGGGGTTGCATTTTGTTCTTTTGAGTGTATTCTCTGAGAGGTTAACCACGCTATCAAGCAGTCAGACATCCAGTCCAGAGAGGCCCTGAATTCCTTGGCCACAGGCAGAAAAGCAGCCAAGTTTGCGGATAGGTTGATTCGACGACTGCCGGGCCTGGTTTCATGCTTTGTTGCCGTGCTGGCGGTCGGTATTTCACAAAGGAGGAAAGGCTGATATGCATTAAGTAATATGCATAATATGCACTACAGATTACTGTGCATAATACTGACTTCCTGGAGCTGGTGAGTTATTTCTTTAAGGCGGATACCCGATTCTAAAACGGCCAATCGCGCGAACT